AAGTATTTCAGATCCTAAAGGAAAAAAACTTCCAACTTAGACTGACATACTCTGTAAAACTGTCCTTCAAAATGGATAGAGAAATAAGATACTTCCACCTGAAGAACTTCATGCAAACCTTGCAAAGACTACTGAATGACAGCTTAGATACATATAGGAAAAAAAACCACTAAGCAAGGCAAACAATTAAACAGAGTGGATAGGTAAAGAAGCAACAGCAGAAAGATAACATATCAAAAATAAACCCATATATAACAGTTGTAACCATTAATATAAATGGCCTCAATTCACTAATTAAAAGAAACAGACTGGTAGAATGGATCAAGAAACAAAATCTAACCATATGCTGTCTACAAGAAACCTCTCTAACCCAAAGGGAAACTCATAGACTGAAAGTCAAAGGATGGAAAAAAATACTTCATGCAACAGGAACCAAAAAAAAAAAAAAAAAAAAAAAGCAGACAATATGAACTCCAAACCAAGAATGAGCCAAAGAGATTACAAAGATCACCACATACTAGTTAGGGGAAAACTTCAAGAGCAAGAGACAACAATCTTAAATATATATGCACCAAATTTGGGAGCACCCACCTCTACAAAACAAATATTGACAGAAATGAAAAATCAAATAAGCAATAACACAATTATAACAGGAGATCTTAACACACCATTGACACAAAGGGACAGATCAACCAGACAGAAAATTAGCAAAGAAATAACAGAACTAAAACATACCTGTGAACAAATGGACTTGATAGACACATACAGAGTGTTCTACCCAACAACATCAGAATATATATTCTTCTCAGCAATACATGGGACATTCACTAAAATAGACTATATAATATCCCACAGAACATACTTAAGTAAATGCAAAAGAATTAAACTTATCCCATGCATGTTATCAGATCATAGTGCCATGAAACTAGAAATTAATAATAAAAAAAACTTCAAAAATGTCACAAACACATGGAAATTGAATACACTTCTGAGCAATCAGTGGGTCACAGTGGAAATTAACAAAGAAATTAAACAATATCTACAGGCAAACAAAAATACAAATACAACTTACCGGAATCTGTGGGATGCAATGAAAGCAGTCTTCAGAGAAAAATTTATTGCAGTGAATTCCTACATCAAGAAAACAGGAAAAAAAACACACATAAACAAATTGATGCTACACCTCAATCATCTAGAAAAAGAATAGGAAGTCAAGTCCAAGGCCAAAAGAAGAAAGGAAATTATAAAGATCAGAGTAGAAATCAATGCAATAGATACTAAGAAAACAATCCAAACAATCAATGAATCAAAGAGTTGGTTCTTTGAAAAAATAAATAAAATTGATAAGCCTCTAGCCAACCTTATTTAAAAAAGGAAAGAAAAAACTCAAATTCATGCAAAAAATAATGAAAAGGGTAAAATCATTACAGACTCTATAGAAATACAGAAATTCATCAACACCTGTTTCAAAAACCTCTGTCATACGTTTAACAACACAGAAGAAATGGACATATTCCTAGAAACATATGAAATAAAGCTGGGTCAAGAAGATATAAAACTGCTGAATACTCCAAATTCTATTAATGAAATTGAGAATATAATTAAATCCTTACTAACAAAGAGCAGCCCAGGCCAAATGGATTCATTGCAGAATTCTACAAGAAGTTCAAAGAAGATTTCTTTCTTTTTTCTTTTTCTTTTTTATCGGTACCGGGTATCGAACTCACCACCGCCTGCTTGCAAAGCAGGTGCTTATGCCGCTGAGCTAAATCCCCAGCCCCCAATTCAAAGAAGATTTAATGCTGACAGTCCTTAAACTCTTCAATGAAAGCCTGTACCCCAAAATCAAGCACAAGACAAAGGATGTCCATTATCATCATCCCTATTCAACATAGTGCTAGAAATACTAGCTAGAGCAATTAGACAACAGAGAGAAACAAAAGGAGTAAAGATAGAAAAAGAGGAAATTAAATTATCATTATTTACAGATGACATGATACTCTACATATAAGACCTCCAAAACTCCATTGAAAGATTCCTAAGTATAATAACTAAATTCAGTAATGTAGCTGGATACAAAGTCAACACTCAAAAATCAATAGCATTCCTATACACTAACAAGAAAATCACTGAGAAAGAAATGAGTAGCCACACTCTTCACAATAGCATCCAAAATATGCAATACTTAGGAATCAATGTAATGAAATAAGTAAAAAGTTCTATTCAGGGAAAATTATAATACCCTGAGAAAGAAATCGAAGAGGACCTCAGAAAATGGAAAGACATCCCTTGTTCATGGATAGAAAGAACAAACACGATGAAAGTGGCCATTCTCTCAAAATTGTTATACAGATTCAATGCAATCCCAATCAAAATGCCATCAGCATACCTCACAGATCTAGAGAAATCACTCCTAAAATTCCTCTGGAACCAGAAGAGATCTAGAATAGCAAAGGCAATTCTAAGCAGCAAAGGAAAGGCAAGAGACATCACAACAAGTAAAACTGGTGTCCTATAATCCTGAATATATCATGAGTCTAATTATCTAAATTAAATCTTATAAAATAAAGTGCAAATGGTAAAACAGCACTTTCCAGTACAAATTTATGGGACAGAAATGCTTTGTATCTATAATGTCCAATAGGGTAGCCACTAACCACTTGCAAATATTTCAAATGTGGCTAGTTTGGCTAAATAATTAAATTTTTATTTTATTTTTCTTTGGTATCGGGATCAAACTCACCTCACGCTTCCCAGGCAAGCGCTTGAGTGGCTGAGCTAAATCCCTGGCCCCAGGAACTAAACTGTAAATTTTTCTAATTAAATAACCATATGTACTGGATTGGTACTGGTCTGGAAGACCCTTCTAATCTTCTTGGAAATGTTAGGAGTGGAGGGCCAATTATGGGCGATCTAAGAATTTTATTTATATACTCTGGTGCTGAGGATTGCATGCGAGGCCTTGCACATGCTAGGCAAGCACTCAACCACTGACCTTCATCCCCAGGTGTTACTAGATTTTATTTTGAGACAGTGTCTTGCTAAATTGTCCACGTTGGCCTCAAGTTTCTGCCTTCCCAGTAAATGGCATTATAGGCATGCTTCACTGTGCCTAGCTGATAATCTTAAATTATCAACATTATGTTTTAAAAACTCTGTCATTCCTTTAGTATGAAATTTTCCAGAAGTTTCACATTTTCAAAAAATAAAATCAACAAAATTTGTCAAGCTGCTTTTCTGCATGAATCATCTTTTTGCAAAGAGGTGTAAGACTGATTTTATTGCCAACTCTGCCCCCTTTTCTATAGACAAAATTCAGTGATTAGATTCTGCATTTATTTAGGTTATTCTCCAAAAAAAACTGGTTTCCATATTGAAATAAATGACAAGAACTTTTCCTCTAGATTATCCCAGACAGCACAAATGTTCTTTCCAAAAGTAGAGACTGGAACTACAGCCCCCTCACGTTGCCTGCTACATCTGTTTATACTTATAGAAGCGACATCCACTTTTCAAACAGAGAAGGCCAATTTCTTGGGAAAGGACTGAGAATATGGTGATGCTTGAAGATAAAATTTTCCCTGTTCAAAATAAAAGATCCATACAATGAAGCAGCCAGCGCTCCTTTGAAATGGAAAGATTTTGCTCCTAGAGATTCTGTGTACAGAATTGTGTGTACAGGCTGGGCTCTGACCTAGCCACAGTCATTTTCTACCTATTGAAGCTGCGGGTAAATAAAAAAACCTAATCCTCAGTTTTTCCATCGGTAAACCATAAGTAATGATGTTCTGTTTGGAAAAATGTGAAAAATTATGAAGTGGGTGAGATCTTACATGTTATCTCCAGGACTCTGGAGACTTAATCCATACCTTTGATGGCTCTTCATTTAGGCAATTTCACTGCTCTGTAAACCACAGAAATTTATGGTAAAGTAAATAATTCTTATCAACAGAAATGCAAATTTGTTAGAGATTTTGGTTTCCACAGATAGCACACCACCCACGCCATCCACTGTTCGGATTTATCTGGTTTCAGTTACTCTTACCAACTTTTTATCCAGATCTGAAAATATTAAATGAAAAATTATAGAAATCATCCATAAAGGCTTTACTATCCTACAGTTACAACTGTTCATTTGATTAGTGCTAATTTCTTTCCACACTTGATTTATAAACTAAGGTTTGTCATAGGAATATTTAGAAAAAAAAAAAAAACATTGCAGATAGGGTTCAATACTATCTCTGGTTTCCAGCATTGGACAGGGGATGATCAAACATATCCCATGAAGATGGTGGTGGTGGTGGGGGGGGCGCAACTGTAATGGTAAACATTACATTTGTTTCACTTCTTGCTTGCTAATATCTATAAATTCTTCACACACTCATTTGAATAGACTGCAGTATCAAGACTGGTTCCCTCCCTGATTATTAGGTCAAATTACTTTTGACCCATGTTCATTGTCATTGAGTCAGAAAGTATTCTTTTTTTTTTTGACCCGAATTCATTCATTTCTAGACTCATGTTTTTACCTTCTTGAGAAACACAGTTTCTGCTTCATAGGCTTTCTAGGGGGATTGGATTGAAGGTCCATACTGACACTCATGATCCGGTTTACATTTGCAGGAAGGCTGCGGTACTTTAGGATTCCGGGGGTCAGGGAGGGAGCACTCCCATTGCTAAGAGTGTAAGGGCTGGGTTGGGTGGGCAACAAGCAAGTGAGAAGCCCTCCTTGTCCACTCCCTTCTAGGAGAGGGCTCTCCGGGTCAGGGCGGCCAACAGGGACCAGGTGGGGCCGCACTGGGGAAGGCCCGGGTTTGGCCTTCCAGGCCAGGGCAGTGGCCAGGGATTGGGGAGCCTAGGGTCAGAGAGTTAAGTGCAGACCACGTGGAGGCCCCCGCAGCCCGCGGCCTGAACCTGGTTGCGGAACCAACTTGGCCGACTGGAGCCGGGCCGGAGCGCAGGCCTCGCCCCGGGCCCCAGGCCCCTCGCCCACGGCCGAGGGGGTGGGGCGGCCTCGCCTCGGGCCGGTGCTTTTCGCCCTCCGTCGGCCGCCAGAGGCTCCCTCTCCCTCTCCCGGGATTTCGCTGCTGGGCTCCCTCTCTCCGCCGCCCTAGAGTTAATCCCATCGGCCGAGGTGAGGCACCTGTTACCCCGGCCTTCCTGGCCCCCGCGGCCTGTCCTCCGTTCCTCGCAGGTCCCGCCGGCCCAGGGCCGCGCGCGTGGGGGGCGCACGTGGGCCCAGCCCCCTCTTCGCCCCGGCCGGCTCCCGAGGGTGCGAGCACCCGGGGCCCGCCGCTCGCCGGCCCCAAGGCGAGGGGCCGCGCCGCGGGCAGCATGCGCGTGGGGGCTGAGGCGCGAGGGGACGGGGACGGGGACGGGGAGGGGGACAGGGACGCGGCCGCGCCGTGAGGAGCCGGGCTGCGCGGGCGGGGGGCGCGGCGCGGCGCGGCGAAGGGGGGCGCCGGGAAGAGGAGGGGGCGCGGCGAGAAGAAGGGGCGCCCGCGGAGGACGGGCGCGGGGAGGGGTGCGCGGCCCAAGCCTCCCGCCCGCTCGCGGCGCTGCCGCTACCGCCGCCGCCGCTCGGTAAGGGGGAGGCCGCGCGGGGCGCAGAGCGGGCGGCGGCGCCGAGCAGGAAAATACCGCATGCACTGAGGCTGAGTGCAGGCTGCGGCGGGGGCGGGCTGGGGCGCGCTGGGGTGAGCATCGGAGGCAGGATCAGTGCAATCTATTGTTTCCCGGCACACTGGGAGGAAAAACAAAGGGATTTGTTACCATTGCCCTATCATTTTCTTTTATTTTTTTCCCGTTTTTAAACGTGGCCAGGGCGCTGTCTCCCCGTGCCGCAGCCCATGTGTTGGACTTCAGGTGCTCCTGGCACAAAGCTAGACTGCGACCTCCTTCCTAGCGCTTGGCGTCACCTGCTCTCCTGGCCCTGCCCCGCGGCCGAGGCACTGCTCCCGAACCCGGCTCGCGAACCAGCCGCCTCTCAAGTTGGTGTTATTTATGTTTGTCTTTTGTGAGGGCAGGATTCAAATCCCAGGCGACACCAGCGCCCCCGCCCCCGCGGCTCTGCGCCCAGCTCGGGCGGGGGAGGAACGGGGTGTTCGAACCGGGAGAGGGGAGGGTGCGGACGGCTTGGAAAAGGTCAGAGGAAGAGAGTGGCTGTGCTTTACCAAAAAGAAAAAAACAACAAAACAGAAAATCGGGCACCACACTCTGAAGCCTTTCTCGTTTGTCTGCATGAGCCATTGCATGCATGCTGGGCCAGGAAACGAGTTTGGAGGCGATTTAAGGGAAAGTGTGTGCTTCCTCAGCTGACTGTGCGTGAGGGAGATGTGGTTCCGGCTCATAATAAAACAGAAACAAAATAAAACAAAATGAAAAAATCTTTAGACCTGTATTGTCTGCTGTTCAGCAGATCTCGAAATACTTGACTGCTGGCTTATTGATAAAAAAATCCAGCTGTGGGTTAAAGAGCAGCAAGCATGTGCTGCTTTGCTTTTTAAGCCTGTAGTAGGAGGCAAGAAAGAATAAACAAATCAAGGATGTGAAAAGAAGTGGCAGGGTATAGTCGATTTCTGATTGTCACTTAAGCATTTGTTCCCATCATAGTCTACATCCCATTTCATAATTAATATCCACTGTTAGGAATCCTCCAAATATTGATCTAACTGAACTTAGGGTGAGATTTAGTGGCACTTAAAAACTTTTTCTTGCTTGTTTTGCTTTGAGGGTGCACTGGTATTGCTGTGGGGGGATGCTGTGGATAAGAATACTGAACCAGAAAGAGTGAAGTAAGCCTCATTAGGCATGATTAGGGGTTTATGGATTCCAAACTTCTGCTTGTACTTAGAATGAGTTTTGCGTGATGGTGGAGAATCCCAAATGAAATGACTTTTGTGGACATTTTGATGATTTCTTTAAGATACAGTAATTGCTGTTTTTGTTTAAGGTCCTTAACAAAAAGCAGTGAAAACTCGGGCTAATGTATTGATTTCAAATATACTTTGTGTGTGTTTGTGTGTGTGGGGGTGTTTGATAGGGATCTTGAAATTGTGTCTGAGACATTTTTATTCTCAGACGAGTGAAAATAACTTTTAATTTTGTAACTTTTGACTTCTCATTTCAATAAGTAATTTCTTCTATTCGCCCTGTGGCCAACCTACTTGGAAAATAAAGTATGTATTAGTTGAGTAAAATAAAGTAAGTGTATAAATTCAGAACTTCATTCTTTTCTGTTACAGATGAACTTCTAGTCTTGCTTTGAAAAAGCCACTTTGTATAACTCTTGACTGTGAATTGTTTCCTCACACACCTTTTGGGAGGATCTCTGACAGAGTATGCCATTTGAGAGGGCCTTCTGGTGACCAAATACTTACTGGTGACCAGCGAAGAGAAGTGTTTTCATTTTTGTGTTTTTGTTTCCCGACCATTATGAACATTGACTCTTCACCCTTGAAGTAAACATGTTGAAAGCTGAATCTTCAGGTGAGCGAAGCACTCTCAGAAGTGCCTCTCCTCACAGGAATGCATATAGAACTGAGTTCCAGGCACTGAAAAGTACTTTTGACAAACCCAAGTCAGATGGGGAGCAAAAAGCAAAAGAAGGTGAGGGCTCCCAGCAAAGCAGGGGCAGGAAATATGGCTCCAATGTCAATAGAATTAAAAATCTGTTTATGCAGATGGGCATGGAACCCAATGAGAATGCTGCGGTCATTGCCAAAACCAGGGGGAAAGGTAGATCTTCATCCCCTCAGAGAAGGATGAAACCTAAAGAATTTCTGGAGAAAACAGATGGCTCTGTGGTTAAGCTCGAGTCCTCTGTCTCTGAACGAATCAGTAGATTTGACACAATGTATGATGGCCCCTCCTATTCCAAGTTCACAGAAACTCGAAAGATGTTTGAGAGAAGTGTGCATGAGTCAGGACAAAACCACCGATATTCCCCAAAGAAAGAGAAGAGCGGAGGGAGCGAGCCACAGGAAGAGTGGGGCGGGTCCAAATCCAATCGAGGCAGTACAGACTCCTTGGACAGCCTTAGCTCTCGCACTGATGCTGTCTCCCCAACTGTGAGTCAACTGAGTGCAGTATTTGAGAACACTGAGTCCCCCGGTGCCATCGTTTCGGAGAAGGCAGAAAGCAGTGAGTACTCGGTAACTGGGCACTATCCCCTGAATTTGCCATCTGTTACTGTTACAAATCTCGATACCTTTTGCCACCTTAAGGATTCCGATTCTTGGTCTCCTAACAACAAACAAGAAGTTGATGCTGAGGATGCTGAGAAGAGTAATACAACTCCAGGAGCAGAAGTGACTCCTAAGAGTACCTCTCTAGCATCCTCGTTGCCTAGTGAAGAGACGCAGCAGAGCAAGGAAGCCGAGGACTCCACATCTAACCAAGAGACTCTGAACATAATTGACAAAGACATTTCCGAAGAACCTTGTGCTGACACTGAGGAGGCAATGCCAAGGTCTGCGATCCTTTCACCGCAAAATGAATCCTCAGGCGTGGCTAGAGCTAATTTGGTTGGGACTGAGGCAGCAAAACAACAGAGGAGAGAAGTTGCATCTGGTGGTCTCACCTCTCCAGATGCTGCGGCATCCAGCTATGGAAGAGAAGTCCCTGAAGACTTCGGTAATTTTGAGAGCTCCCATGTGTACATGCATAGTGACTATAATGTGTATAGGGTAAGATCCAGGTATAATTCAGACTGGGGAGAGACAGGCACTGAGCAGGATGAGGAGGAAGATAGTGATGAGAACAACTACTATCAGCCCGAAATGGAATACTCAGAGATTGTTGGATTGCCAGAAGAGGACGAAATCCCAGCAAATAGGAAGATTAAGTTTAGTAGTGCTCCAATTAAGGTAAGTATGCTTTCTTAAATTGTTCTCCAGGTTTGTTTTAATTTTGGGGCCTGTGTTGAAGAGGGTTGATAACTACTAGAAGTTTTTATAAGGAATTTAAGATTGCTGGTCTAAACCTGTTGTTAGGTGATTTTAAAAGTTTGGAGTTTGAGAGGTATCAATCACATTTCCTAATGTGTTTTACAATGATGTAAACCAGAAGTGAGCAATGTGAAAGATGAGGAGGTTTGGAGATTGTGAAATGCATTCCACTGGACTGGAGTATGAAAAAAATGAGCCCTGAGCATTTGTTTAAAATAAAACTATAACGTGTTACTTAACATTACTTGTACAAACTTTCTGAATCTATAAACTCTGTGATCTGAGATATAAGGTACATCAGGCAAATTATGATAACCTTGAAATAGCCATCTTACTTACTTGCTTAAAAAAATCCAAGTTATTCCTTACTTAAGTGTAAGTGGAACATGAGGAATATTGATGGAACTTCTTTTCTTGATTGCTGCTTAGTAGTGAAAATTTGATTTATGGCAATATATTAGCTGACTTAAATACTGTGGTTGAAAAAGCTCTGTAAACAGCTTTGAATTCAGAATTTGTTTTGTAGCTTTAAATGAGATTTTGTGAAAGGAAATAAAATTGATTTGCCATTCATGGATTTATTTTATCTCTTAAAAACTGGATAAATGCCAGTTAAATTCAGATGCTCTATTCTAATGACTTCACTTAGGTAACATTTGGTATAGAAGAAAAGCACAAAGTGCACCAGCAGCGGGTGGTGGAACATTATTAGGGATAATAATGGCAAGAGGGGCAGGGGGTGTTTGGTTGAGTAGCAGAATCCCCTGGAGTGCTTTTTCGAAGTGTACTGGCCCACCAGCTCAATCCTCAGATTCTGGCATACACTCCTTCGGGAAGCCAGAGGGCTATGGTGGCAATGTGTTCTTTGAAATTGCTTTCTAGGTACGGACTTCTAGCTTGTATAAGGTGTGTATGTGTGATAGGTTTGGAAACTGATATTATTTCCTCAAAATCTAGAGTCCATTGTTATTTCTATCATCCATATAAAGTTGTGAAATAAATAATTTACATGGAAATAACCACAGAGAAGTCCGACGTTTTAGTTATGAAATCATATATTTAAGTGAAATAATCTGTGAAATTATTTACTGGGTATTTGTGGGCACATTTTCATTTTATTCGTGTAAGGCAGAAGTTATGGATATGAACGGGCCATGTCAATTTAAATTGTGTTTAAACCAGAAAATGCGAGTATGGTTTGAAAGTAAACTAAGTTTCCTTTGAGTCTCTACCTCCGTCCTTTGATTCTCTCTTTTGCTGTCCTGTACTCCCACTTGTGGGAGTCTTCAAAGGCGCCCTTTCCTCAGACCTGTCTAATGAGCTGCCAGACTTCACCATTCATTCCCGCTTTGAACATCATCTTTCTATCCCTTGGGAAGAAAGCAATATAATTAAATTGTTTTACATTGAGCAAAGCAAGAAAAACTGAAATGAACTCTCCAAAGGAGTTTGTTAATCCTGGCGACTGACTTTTTAATAGGGGACAGCAGTTTCTAAAAATGTATCAAGTTTAGCCACTCAGCCCAATGGGGTACTGGCTGTATTCAAATGCCAGGCTGCATTCTAGACAGTAATAGGTTTGATGGATTTTAAAGGACTTATCAATGCGATACGTCTCTTTGTATGTGAACAGACCAGGTTTTTGGTTATATTTTGAAATTCAAGTGAATTTTTTATTACTCTTGCTTGTAACAGTAGGCATTTTGCCTCTAACCCAATAAATAAGCTGGATTTCATATTGCAAAGAATGAAAAATAAATTAGTGTTTAAAATTAACACATTTCTTAAACATAGGTCAAGCGTATGATTTGTGAAACAAACACTGCGATGTGTTTTATTGGACATTTAAGCAGGACTGGTTGGAGTGGATTAAGTTTGCAAACAGAATGGTCATTATTAGCCTTTTTGTAATGAATAGGACAATTATCCTTTCTTGTTGTTTCCATTGTTTAATACGCAATTGGATTGATTCACTTTAGAAAATTCGAGAGCTACTTTCTACTTGCCGTGGTACTGTTTTAGTTATTTTCAGCTCAGGTTTTTAAATTTTTTAATTTTTTTTCCTTCATTAGGTGGTGAAGTCTTAATTCAAATATTTGGGGAAGGCTTATCTTAAGTGTTCTTTGATGCTGCTAGCTACAGAAGACACAATAATTATAAAGTTACTTCTGTCCTCTGTGACTTTGTAATTCTTAAAAACACTGGATTTAAAAATCATATAATACACTATATAAAAACTGAACCAAAATATTTCCTGTCTTGAGTGTCCTTTAATATTTGGCTGTACTGAATGCATAGGATGAAAGGTATTTGATATATTATTTGGAACTGAGGATATTCATGCATTACCCCTGTGTGTTACTTTATGAGTTTCATAAAGCTTTACTTATAGAATGGAAGGTTATGATTTCCAATTTCTTTGAGAAATGTTTTTTAAAGATATAATTTTTGATGCTTTCATAGTCTTTCTCTGATATTTTTTTCTTTAATAGGTGAAATATACCCTATTATATTCAGTGTTTCATTGTAGATCTTGTTCATGATATTTGTGTAATACTGTCCTCAGTCTCTATTTTGGTCTTTTTTTTTTTTTTTTTTTTTTTTTTTTGAGGTGTTTTAAATATATTACTCAGATGTTTCAAAGCTGGACCTGGAAAAACAGCAAAATAACATATTCCTTGTACTTGTTAGTAACTTAGAAATGGTTAAATTTTACTGCCTGCCAACAGAGTGATTTTCCAGTCTTTTTCATGGACATAGTTGTTTCTTATGGGATTAAGTTGATATGGTTCATAAGGCCATACGCTATTAGAATGGGATTGATAATCACAAATATAAAATTTACCCTTGAGATATGAGATGAGAGAATGTTACAAGCAATGTTGATCGGGTATGTGTAATTACACTTTTCATCTTTAGGAATGTCTCAAGATGAAATGAATGAGTTAAAGTAAATGTGTCTTAGATAAATCATGGGTGGAAAGCATGACCCTTGTCATTATGTTTCTATTAGTTTGAAACAGTAATGCCTGGCATGTATGAGGAATGCTGTAAATATCTTGTGCACAACTAGTGCTGTCCCAGTCCTGAGCTGCTGGTAGTGGGGTGTGTGGCCTGGAGTTAACAAGGCTGCTGGGGCCCTTCTGCTCAACTCTGCTTTTGGATGACCTTTGTGATGTCACTGCAATCTTATTAAGCAAATCATACCCTTTTCTCTGTCACTGGTAGCCTTGTATCCTTGGAATATATTTATTTTTTTCAGTTGTATGGATGAAACCCAGGGTCATTTACTACTGCGTTGTATCCCCAGCCTTTTTAAATTCTTTATTTTGAGGCGGTCTCATTAAATTTCCCAGCCTGGTGTTGAGCTTGTGCTCCTCCAGCCTCAGTCTTTGGAGTAGCTCTGTACCACTGCTGGGCTGGCAGTTTACTGTGCTGTAGTTCAGGGCAGAATCAGGAAGGGTAGTAATGCTACTTTGAATCTTCCATGGTAGTTGATAAAATTGGTCTCTTTGTATTCTCACCCTCTTTTAGGGGCTCTAAGGCATAGTCTGGGTTACATGAAGCCTTTTTGTTCAGGATGGTGTGCAGAGCATAGTTCTTCCTTTTGTCTTGTGGAGGCTTCTCTTGCTAACAATTTTGTCAGTGTGTGTTAACTTTAGTGTGCATATGAATCATTTTGGAATTCTTGTTAAAATGCAGATTTTGTTTCAGTAGGTGTTCTATGGGAAAATACCTCAATACGGTGGTTATCCCCTAAATACAGTATTAGGCAAACTATCTCAGAGGATAGAGGCATTCCGCAACCTTTTAAAATGCTTGAATCTCCTTGTGTATTACATCCAAGAGGAAAGCCATGGAGTAAGTTAACACACTTAGGTGCAAAGCAAATTGGAAGGACTGGACTTCCTGCCTCTTGAGCACACCACATTCAGCTGCTCATCTCTCTTTCATGCCTGCCTTCCTGGCTAGTGGTGTGGTTATGAGGACCTGAGTGGATATTTGGCCGAACCCCACAGACCAATGGCGTGCTGTGTCAGTGAAGCACACTTGCTCTATTGAAAAGACATGGGGCATGTGCATCTGGGTACAGCTGTACTTTTGCCAGTTCATCTGCTCATGAACCTTGGGTTTTATTTGCTTTTGTGGGTGCAGCACTGTGCATACTGAGTGCCCTTAGTGGCTTGGTATGAAGATACAGTGTCGGTGCAGATTTGGCATACTAATGACTTGGTCTTTTATCCCTTTCTGTTAGTTAACCTCTTTCATTCAACTACATTTTCTGTTTATTCTTTTTTATAATGTCATATTGTAGGTTACTGTGTCATGTAGTTTTAGGATATTTTCTGAATTCTGCCTTCATATCACCAACTTGCATTCTTTACTATCTGTATTTAACCAAGTCTGAGTGTTGTTTCTCTCATAGGCTGTTAGCTAATTTACATTTTTGATGATCACTGCCTGTGAGTCTCCTTTCCTCCCATCTTCTCACTTCTCTCTTCCTTTCTTTTCTCTCTTCCATTCTTCCCTTCCTCTCTACTTTTCCTGCTGGGGATCAAACCCAGGGCCCTGCTAGGCAGCAGCTTTGTCACTGAGTCACATCCCCAGCTCTCATTTCTTTTCATAACCTCTGTAACATAATTTAATATCATCAAATAATATAATAAACTAATGCAATGACAGGTCTGGAGTGGGACCTGAGACTGTGCATTTCTAACAAATTCTTAAGTGGTACTGACGTTGTCGGCGGTTAGACCTTTCTTTTTAGACTGGCTTCTGAAGGAAGTTGACTATAGGATGTTGAATGAATCTGGAACTGCAGTAGTAGGTTGTGCCGAATAATATTCTTTGAGGATGAAATAATCTGTAATTGTGCAAAGTACCCGAAGTGCTCTTTCTGGATATCAAAGTGGATAATA